CTGCCGCAAGGTTTGGGTGCTCTTCAGGCTGGAGGGGTGACGGGCTGCGCAGCCGGGGTTTCCCGTGTCTCCCGAACACCCCTACCGGGGTGTAGATGATCTCCAGCCTTGACAGGGTACTAGAACTCTGAGCCGAAAGGCTGCCGTCATCTTCTGCCAAGCCGGGCTCACAGTCGCGAGCCGCTGGGCGCGGGAGGAAGGATTGCCTTGCACCCACTCCCCCGGCTCACTCCCAATCGGTAGCCTGAGGAAACGGCTAAATTCGCCGGGCGGTTCTCTACCCGGCTGGGGAGCGCTGCTCTCCGCGGTCCCTGTGGCCCGACTCGGTCTGATCCCTGATCTCGCAGAAGGCTGGGCAGCAGCAGAATCGATTTCGTACTAGCAAACCATTTGCCCCGCTCCTCCTGCCTCATTTTCTCCCCCGGCTACTAGGGTGCAGATTTTGTTGATTTTGTTCTTGGAGGGACTCAGATTTGGTCTCAGGTTTGAGGTGACAAAAATAACTATATGACAGGCAAAAAAAAAAAAAAAAATCAGGATCGATGCAGGAGAAAAAGGAATAGATGTAATCAAGTACTGACAGACGTCAAAGCACTCAGACGGCTCACATGCATGCACGTTCAAACACAACGTACATCAGATCTTCACACTTTGGCAACACAACACTCTTGTGCACACAGTAAAAGTAATTACACCGTTTTAGTGTTATGTATGTACAGATACCCTGACTGTGCCCACAGAAATACAACCTCTAGAAACAGAGTAATGCAAAGATATTTGCAAAAGGTACATACATAGGCATAAAATACCTTACCAACAGAGTAAAAATACATGAAATTTTGGATGCAATTCCAAATGTATGGGTCTTCCCAGCCAAATAAATATACACGGTGTATGTGTAAATAAGCATGCAGGCTTTTGTAGTGTCTACATAGATAAAATGCACAAATCAGTATACTGGCGTTTTTGATATATAACAAATTTAGCCAGATTAAAAAAACCAAAACCAAAACCTGGTGTATTTATAGCAAGGGAAGCAAAAAATAAATAGCAAGGAAAGCACAGTGGTATTTTTTTGTCTTGCACTTTTCATGGCAGATTTATCAAAATATGTCTAATAACTCAGACTGTGTATTTCCAAATCTGGCATCCTATATAAATGGGTTTTAATATTTTGCAAATGATATGGAATTATCCCAAATCATCTTGAAAACAGCAGGTAGAATTAGCTAGTGGAATGTACCTTGGCTAAGAAAGATTCCCTCAGACACACTGTCTCTGTAATATACTGCTAGGCTACCCTAGGAAATTATCCCTGTGTGTGCCATCTGTATTAAAATGGTTATTAAGTTATGAACAGGGTAACATAATACTGATCGGCTAATTATACACCCTCCTAAAAAACCTCCAGGTCTCTGTTACTCTCTCAGTCAGGTATTGAAATAATAACAGTTTGACATTCAGACACCTTACAAAGGCAGCTGTGGAAGGACAGACAGCTATACCTGTAAGGAACTGAGCTGGTGGCAGGGAAGTCCAGAGGAATGGCCATAGGCTCTTTGGAGAAACAGCATGTACAGACCCAACATATATTTATACTTGAGCTAGCTTAAGGGATCTCAGCATCCAAAAGTCACTGAGGTCTCAGTCTCATGCTTGCTGGACCCTGTGCCTCACGTCTGGGTTGTGCTGTCCCAGGCAGAAAGCTGAGCACCAGATTTGGCTCCCACCATGCCACCAGTCTGCGGCGGGGTTTGGGGAGTTTTGTACCTCAGTTTCCCCACACGGGAAATGAAAACTAATTTTTCTCAGAAGGAGGTGGAAACAGATGCCAGTTAGATTGTGCTTATAAAATACTTTGAGGACAAGTGTTTTGTAGCTACTAAGTATTATTATACTAGAGAAGCTCAGCTGTGACCCACCATGACAATGGTATTTGAGTGTGTAGTCCTCAAGGCTCAAGAGCATTTTAGCTTCATAAGATTTAGTTTTTCCCCATTCCTTTTAAAAATTCACACCAAACTTCGCACTGTTCACCTTTGTATGAAGCTCCTCAAAACTCACATCTGTGAGGAAGTGAGCCCATAACACAAGTCATAAAATTTGCAAGTCTGTCTTAGACAAGAACACGACAAGAACAGGGGAAAAATTGCAGTGAAATAGGAAATATTGAGTATATTAGCACCCAATCCTAGTGCTGTGGAGAGTAGCGTGAGCTTCATCACTCCAGTGACTTTCATGACTCCAGCTCACAGAACTCACAAAACACAAAGAAGCTCACAATTTAAATATACATTTTTCTCACCCTCATTGTAAAAATTCACATAGAGAATCTGGACAGTTTCTTTGTAATAGCAAATCCCTTACCTGCAGTAAATTGTCATCTCTCTGATCACCAATCACAAATTGGAGTTAATCTAACACTTAGTCTCTGAGCAGCTTCAGAGAGATGACAATTTTAAAACCTAGCCATCAGTAAATATCTGTCTTCTTACTTCTGCAAAATGTGGCGTTTCCTGTACAAAATCTGGTTTTACCCAATGTCTAGAACACTTAGAACTACATCCAGGAGCGTTTGAGCATCTTAAGGCAAATTAGCAATGCATTTGTGGAAAAAGAAGTTACCTATATCCCTAGATAGACTGTGAATACTGTGCTTCAAAATGAAGATGTCCTTGTAGACAGAAAAAAATTACTTTTGGTTATTATAAGACTTCTTGAAAATTTATTAATTACCTTTTATTTTCTTTCTGAGAATTAGTCTAACATTAGTAAAGGCCTTTGGGTGAGAGACTACAGAACAACAGTTTCAATTCAGTTTTTAAATTCTCCCTTAAACACTTAAAATGTTTTTACGAATTTTTTTTTAATTCTGTGTGCCTACATTATTATGATCTGTCACTACTGCACTGAGACTGGAAGGACTCTTTTGGGACAACATGTCATTTAGTTCTGAGTTATATCAAAAACTTTTTCATTCCAAACTCATGCAGACAAAGGGTAGATACAAGTTCTAGTGAAAAAAACATGTCTTAACTACCCTGTAAAGATTCAGGAAAAGATACTAGAGTCTTCTGCTATACAGTAGATTTCTTTTAATTACAGGAAAAATCTAGGGAGTATATGAGTTCGTAAGCAAAGTGCACCAGAAATGACATGACTGAGATCAGTTATCTCCGCGCTTTCCTGTTCCCACTTCATGCACTAAGCACTATGCAGCATATCCCAATTTTGTATGTTTGCTATACACATAACATACATACAAACATGTATATGTACGTGTATATAT